AATACGCCAAGAAATGCTCGGAGCCGTTGGCGATATACAATAAAGGCATAGACAAGATTACAAAGCGCGATGAATAATCACGAGAGAATGTCGATTCGCGTCTATATATAAACGAAAGCTCCATCCAAAGAGATTCTCTCGCGTTGTACCTGTTGATTTTCACGACCCGCAATTCGCAGGTTGAGTTGATTCAAAAAAAAAAAAAATAATAATAATAATTTGAATGGGTGAAAAAAAAGATAGAGAGAGAGAAACGAATTGCATCGGCCTCTTCTTGAACTTTGCCGCGTGTCTGTGCGTTACAACGTTACCTACCCATATATTAATACGACCAAGGCATGCACGCCAAGCGTCGATGCACGTCGCTCCTTCCAGAGGGCCTTTAACGACGTCGCGGGACCACGATGGGACCCAGCGCGCCGCAGAGAGACTTTGCATATAAATAGGATATATAATTTTTAACGTTTCGCCGGTTGCGCGCGTATGTTATAATAACGCCCCGGCGTAGATCGTTCTCTTTGCCGTTGTCTCCTGTGCTTTAACGGAGGGACAAATGAAACGATAAAACGTAACCCTCGAAGTAATGATATTTCGAGAGCTAAATTTAACCCTTAATTTTTGCAACATTTTATGTTCAAACGTCGAAGCGACAAATCGCATTTTGTGTTTTTTTACTACTCGTGCCATATACTCGTCTCACCGTTTCAGAGGAACCGGAACATTTCGCTTGGAGTTTTATTGTGTAGTGGATTATACTCTTACGCTTATGATTCACTGTTGTTGATCGACGCGCGATGAACTTTAACACGAAAAATGTAAGTCATCGCTACTGGGCAGTCGTTACGCCATTAAACTGGTCAAACATAAACAAAGAGTTTTGCCGTAATAATATCACTTGAATAATCATACACATTGTTCCAGCGCCACAGACTAGGCAGTCAGCTAAATAAAATAGAGAGTATCTTTTGACCAGTTAATTTTACTTCATTTTTCGCTCGATTTACGGCAAAGTTAGACTCGATACGACGTTGATGACTTCTATCCAGGCGCGTGAATTTGGATAATCGAATCGCGACGCGTTCCAAGACTCGCCGAAAAAATCTCCCGACAAACTTCGAATTCTAGCAGGGCAAGAACTATGCGTAATATCGAGCCTCGTCCCGGACTGTAGTCGTAATAACGCGCCGTATTGTATGTACCGTACTAATGCATTATATCCAGTATGTTAGGCGCGCACGCATGCGATGCCTGCCTCGGTATTGCTCGAGCTTTACGGCTCGTCGTGCATACAGCGAGTTTTGTGCCGCACTCACTCGAACCTCCGGGTTATGTGCGTACGTATTTATAATAATACAACGCACCTTCTGACGACTACGACGACGACGACGAGAACGAGTGCAGCGCGGAGACCGCATTTAATCAGTTTGCGGTCGGTGCGACTATAACGCGCGTATATACGTACGCGTGTACAGTGCGTGTATATACGGCACGCGAGTTATGCATATCGCGCGGTGTGTATTATATTATGTGTATATACGTGGCCCTTTTGCTCGAGAGACGCGCGAGACTACTACTATATAGTATACGCGCTCAAAGGGAAAAGAGTCGCGAAGTTTATTATTATTTTTCGCTTAACGTACTGTATTCGTAAAAAAAACAACCTGAGACTTTACTGTATTGTACAGCCGTGAGTATAGGACGGAGTAGTTGATTTTTACCCCTCCACTAAACGGCCGAAAAATGGCAATAACGTATACGATACGATGATAAAGAAATTCGACTACGTTTTTTGTTTCAAACGCGTGTTTGGATGGTATTAGACACACGATGCATTGGATAGTCTAACTCCCTTCGTTTCTCTTTGTTTGTTTTTTTGTTGTCGTGGCCTTTTTCTGTGCTCTACGCGTATATCAGAGAGTCGTAACCGAATCCCTGCGCGCGAGCAAATATGCAAACGCAAAGGGCCACCGTGAAAGCCTTCCTTCGATTCTATGCCTTAGAAAATAAGTAATTTTTCATACGAACGCTATATCGTATGAATTGCTATATTGGTTTAATCGATTATCAAGTACTCCTTACTGAAAAATCGATAAATCAAGCGCAAAAATTACCGAGCATGAAGACGTTAATTCGCGGTCGTATATAGGGATTCCTCGCGATAATAATCATCGAAATTGAGATCTGCTCGCGCGCGAACACACACGTATACTGATGTATCTTATTCATCTCTCTCTCTCTCTGTCTTACTCGACGAGGGATAACCCCGAGGATCGGCAGCAAAATAAATTATCCCAACGCGCGTGTGCTTTTTATTTGGATAGCGACACCATCGAGTCGCGCTTAAATTAGCCAAAAATGTTATATTTAACGCCGAAAAAAACCACACGCACGAACATTCTTCGATCGTCGTGTAATAAAAAAAGGAGTAGCAATAATAAAACTTGGCTCTGTTTCTATCGTTGCGTACATTTGTATAAAAAATAAAACTACGAAACAAACAATTTGGCATTAAAAACTATACGATCGGTCTCGCGCGTTCACTCGCGTTACGAGGCGATAAAAAAAGGTCCTCTCTCTCTCTCTCGCTCTTTCTGCATATGCCTATATGGGCTAATCTGTAATCGTCATCTGACTCGATCCTTCGGACAGGTCGGACTGCTGCTGCTGCCGTTGCACCGCAGCAGCTCTCACGATTTATATTGACAAAATATATAATATACATCAGACACGAATCAAATGTCACGACTGCCTCGTGTGACTGCCGTTGCTTTAAAGTCTGCGTTTGAAAATTTGCCTCTCACTCTCTCTCTCTCTCTCTCGGCTTTGGGAGCCTCGCGCGCGCGCCTGCCGCGGCGCGATGTAAATCAATTAAAAACGCGGGCTTAGCTTATAACCGACTTGTAAAACACGATCTTTATATTTGCTAACGTCGGCGATCTTGATAAGCAGCAGCAGCAGCAGCAACCCAACGTGGTATTATAATACAACATTCGCATTTTTGAGGAGAAATAAGCTTATACTGTACACCCGTAGCGAGGCTGCCGCTTGCATCACTTTCGTCTTTATAATTTTAACACAACAAAAGCGAAATTCTGATCCTTTGATACATAAGGAAGTCCACTCTTTTTTTATTGATTTCTCGGAACTATACGCGTGTACGAGAGAAAGAGAGAAAAATCTATCTCGCGTTCGATTCGTTTCTTCGCGTGTACACGTATATAGGCGCAGCCCAGAGACAGGAATAGGTTTTGTTCCAACATTTGCGTGTATATGCAAATGTACCTATAATACGGCGTGTGCATGTTTTTATATTATATTATGGGCGCGCATCGGGATCGCGTTGAAAAATTAAAAAAAAAAACGCCGGCAACAACGACTCCGTGGAGTAATGAATTTAACCGAGTCGTAAAATGCCACCGTGTGCCAGAGTTGGGGTAATTAAAAAAAAGGAATTTCCAAGTTTCCAATTACAATGCGCGCGCGTTTGTATATGATTTCGAAAGCTTTTCGAAAAAAAAAAAAAATATTATACAGCGATCGTATAATCGACTTTACTCGCGGCTGCTGCCACCGTTGCAGTCCGAGTGTATGTCAACTTAGCGACCATCTCACTCTCTGTGCGTGTACATTACGTAGCAGCGGTAATTGAGAATTGAGAAAAAAAAAAAGAGTACGTAACGTCTGGGAATTTTGATGTGATTTCGGTGGCCGCGTAAAGTAATAACACCGGCTACCTCATTTTTTTTTTTATCATTACGAATTCTTCGTATTCGCATCGAAAGCGACCCTCTCTAATCCTAAGAAAAGTCTCTCATAGCTTTTACCGCTTTGAAAATTTATAATTTAGAAAAATGGTACCGCCCAACGAGCCCGCGCGTAAACAGCCCAACCAAAAGAAAAAAAAGGAAAAAAAAACGAAACACACGCGTACGAAAGAAAGAGGAAAAAGATAGAGCCAAAGAGAGAAAGAGAGTGAGAGCCGGTGCATATAATATTATAATACTACTGCTGCTGACCGTATCGGGGAGATACCGATCTCCCGACGCCGAAATAAGTCACGACCCACCGCAGACGAATTTTTTTCGCTTATATCTCTCGGCTGCCTGAGCCGCGGCGATGCAATTACGCGCATCGCCCAAAGTCTGTCAAGTTATTTTACGCGCCTATACGGCACGCACTTAATACGAACTTTTAACTCTCGTCTCTCAGTTTCGAATATCACGTTGTACACCTTTTGACTCGCCAAAACATTTTACAGCATCCAAGTAACACGAGGTAGTAGGTATATATGCGCGTGCATTGGAATCGCGCAGTCTAGATCGAGGGGAAAAGCTCTGCGCGGAGAGGAAAAAAGCTCTCGCGCGCGCAAGCGCAGCTTTAGCAGCGAGCTTGCAGTAGTACATGGTATCCACTATTAGAGAAATCTGCACGCATGCGCCCCCGCGATGCACCGAGAGTTGCTGCTGCCGCTTGTTTTTCGTGGATATTCGCACGAAGAGGGGCGGGCGAGAGCTGCTCTCTCTAGCGAAGCACTGCCTGGCACTGCGCGTCTGGACTTTCGGGTGATAAGGTCGCGGGAGCGCGGGCGCGCGCGCGTGGGCGTACAGAGAGAGAGAGAGAGCTCGTGTGTTGTGCTGTGCAGCCCTCCCGTACGTATATACGTGTGTGTGTATATATATAATACGGTTTTGGACGAAAAGTACATTGGAACTGGCGCCAGAGAGCTGGCGCTGTCGAGGGAGTGGGAGAGAGAGAGAGAGAGAGAGAGACTGGTTCGGTTATATGGGAAGAGATTCCGGATTCTCGTCGCGCGCGCGCGGCGTTAGATGTATACGAGCGCTGTTTCTTTCGCAATAAACAGATTAATATACTTCTTTCTTTCTTTCCTTTCCTTTGCTTCTTCTTTTTTTTATCATTTTTCACGTTTTTCGATTTCATTTATAAAACAACAAAAAAAAAGAAAAAAAAAGAATGACCTTATTCGAAATTCTGTGTTGCAGGTATGCCAATGATAAAAAGGAATCCGATGAGACGCGGATACGAGTATAATCATACTGCACCTGTAGAAAACGGATCCACTTGTCCATGTTCGAACTGATACGAGGCAGCGATTGATACGACCAATTGGTGTGAGTATGAATCAACCTTTTTCTTTTTAATTTTCATTCGTAATTTTAAATATCATCCCCGTTCTCGACGTAAATCGTTTTTCTTTTTTTCCCCCTCTCTGTCGTTCGTCAACACGCGCAGATCGCCATGCATAAAATGGACATAGAGAGCAGCTACCAGCAGCTCGAGCAGGTGCTCGAGGACGAGGAGGGCGAGGACGAGGACGAGGCCGGCCGCGACAATTATCACGAGGACGAGGGCGTCCACGACCACGTGATCCACGTGGTGCCCGAGACGGGCAAGACGCCCTGGAACCACATCGAGGACCTCGACTCGTTCTTCATACGCGTCTATCACTACCACCAGAATCACGGCTTCCTCTGCATGATGCTGCAGGAGGTGCTCGAGCTCGGCCAGTTCGTCTTCATCGTCGGCCTGCTCACCTTCCTCTTTCACGGCGTCGACTACGCGATCCTGTTCAAGGATCGCATACCCTCGGGCCACAACAAGACGGCCATCAACGACGCCATCCTGCCCGCGGACGAGGCCTTCGCCAGCATGGGCTTCTTCACCTGGATCTCGCTCTTCTTCGCCAGCATCTTCTGGCTGTTCGGCGCCGTGCGCGTCTGCTACCACTTGGTCCAGTTCTGGGACATCAAGGCGTTCTTCAACGACGCCATGAAGATCAGGGACTGCGACCTCGAGAGTCTGCAGTGGCACGACGTGCTCAAGCGCATCATCCTCGTGCAGCGCGAGCAGGAGATGTGCATACACAAGAAGGACCTCACGGAGCTCGACGTCTATCATCGCATGCTGCGCTTCAAGAACTACATGGTCGCCATGGTGAACAAGTCGCTGCTACCCGTGCAGCTCAAGATCCCCTTCCACGGCAACGAGATCTTCCTGAGCCAGGGCCTGCAGTACAATTACGAGCTGCTGCTGTTCTGGGGGCCCTGGTCGCCCTTCGAGAACAACTGGCACCTGCGCGAGGACTACAAGAAGATCAACAAGCGCCAGGAGCTGGCGGCCCGCCTGGCCAATCACATATTCTGGATCGGCATCGTCAACTTCGTCCTCTGCCCGGTGATCTTCGTCTGGCAGATACTGCACTTCTTCTTCACGTACGGCGAGCTGCTGAATCGCGAGCCCGGCGTGCTCGGGCTGCACACCTGGTCGACCTACAGCCGCCTGTATCTGCGCCACTTCAACGAGCTGGATCACGAGCTGCGCGCCCGGCTGAATCGCGCCTATCGGCCCGCCTCCAAGTACATGAACAACTACACGCCACCGGTGACGACCATACTGGCGCGCAACATGGCCTTCGTCTCGGGCAGCGTGTTCGCCGTCTGCGTCGCCCTGGCCTTCTACGACGAGGACTTTCTCACGGTCGAGCACGCCCTCATGATCATGACGATCGCCGGCAGCGTGGCCCATCTCACGCGCACCATGGTGCCGGACGAGAATCTCGTCTGGTGTCCGGACAGTCTGCTCACCGCGGTGCTGGCCCACACGCATTACGGGCCCGACAGTTGGCGCGGACAGGCCCACGCGCCCGCCACCCGCAGCCAGATGGCCCAGCTGTTTCAGTCGCGCGCCGTCTACCTGATCAAGGAGCTCTTCTCGCCCATCGTCACGCCCTATCTGCTCTGCTTTCATCTGCGCTACCGGGCCCTCGACATCGTCGACTTCTTTCGCAACTTCACCGTGGAGCTGACCGGCGTCGGCGACGTCTGCAGCTTCGCCCAGATGGACATCAAGAAGCACGGCAATCCCGCCTGGCAGACGCAGAAGAGGAAGATCGGCGGCACTCTGGCCTCGAACCCCTACACCCAGGCGGAGGACGGCAAGACCGAGCTGTCGCTCATCAACTTCATGCTGACGAATCCCGAGTGGAAGCCGCCCGTGCTCGCCGAGAACTTCGTTCAGGCTCTGCGCGACCGCGTGAAGCACGAGGCGGCCGCGGTGGCGATGGCCGAGGCCAATCCGCTCCACGCCAGCATCAGCAGCCTGACAAATCTCGGGCCCGAGTACAACGGCATCGTCACCAGCGTGCTCAGGTCCAACTTCTTGAATCCCATTGGATTCGCCACGACAACAACGGCTGCTGCTGCCGAGCCGCAGTTACTTCAGCAGCAGCAGGCGTCAACCTCGATACTGCTGAACGACGGCAGTATGCAGAGGTCGTGCGCCACCACGTCCTCGTGCGCCCACAACACCTCCACCCAGGCGATGAACATGTCTCTGTCGGCGCTCTATCTGCACGAGATGCACAAGAGGCACGTGCACAATCAGCAGCCGGGCAGCGGAGCCGCCGGACACGCCGCAGCCGCTGGTCACGCGTGCACCTCGCGGAGCATCTGGTCGCAGAGTCCGCTGCACGAGAGCCAGCACCATCATCACCAGGACGTGGACGATCGATCGCCCCTGCTCCAGCACCCGGACTCGTCGCTGCGCTACCCCAGCAACACGTAGCGAAAGCGTAACAACTGATACACGCGTTGATGATTGAGATAACGGCGGGAAACGAATGGCGCGAGGAGCACAATTGCGTCCGTCCGTTCGTTCGTTCGTATACGTCGTGCGATCGTTTTAACTGTGTGACTATAATCCATGGCTGTTTTTTAATGAATTAGTTACCAATTGTTAGTGCGCGATTAAATAAATTTAATGAAAACTTTGAATAATATTTATTGAATAAGGAAGGCGTGTGCGTGTTTGCGCTTGAATATATTTCGTAAAAAAAAATAACGATTAACAATTTGTATGATACGATTAATGATACTTTGTTGCGCGAGTGTGTGCGGATATTGTCTCGGGGGTATAGCGATGTAAAGTGGCAAAGGCTTCGGGAGCTATTACGCGTTTTGCATATAATCAAATATTTTGACAATATTCAAAAGATTAAAAAAAGAGGAGGAGAAGGAGGAAAAAAATAGTCTAGTATGTAAATGATTGAAGCAAAAGATGATAAAAAAAAAAGGATGGAGATGTGAGATCTGCTGTATAAGAATTAGAATTGTAATAACGAATTATCCTCTGACGGTCCTATTTTCGGGGGGCTGACTGAAACAAACGACTGTTACGGGCATCGATTTTAAGTTTAATTGTCATTTTCATTGTTCATAAACACACACACACACACACACACACCCATACATTTACGCTGTATATTTTCTAAAGAAATATTCATTGAACTTTGTACATAATGACGCAGCTCGTTTTTGAATAAAGTAACATATTTAATATAACAAAATCATACATTTATTTATTATCTCTCTCCCATTATATGTCGCATTATATTTACAGGAATTTACCCACGACAACAAAACAAAACTATCCATTCCAATTACGAATCTTCGTCTCGAGAGTTTCGACCAACGCACATACGAGAGGTCGCTTCTGAAAATATTTCTCAACGCGAAAAATTATTTGACCGATAATGCGCGAGCGATTGTGCGAATAAGTCGATATCAAGCAAACGGTTATTGCCACTAGGCCGTTTCGCCTGGGCAAAAACACGCGCGGTATGTCGTTTCGTTGAATAAATTAAACGTCTTTTATTTAATTTTTTTTCTTTCCTTGCCTTCTGTCCCCCTCGTACTTGGCATATGTCACACACGCAGACACACAAGATCGATTTTTTTTCTTCTGTGCGTCGAATATCTTATATATACGTATGCGAATTCCAAAACTGCAATATCGGACGGTGTCATGTATTATTAACCTCGTTATCGCCTCGTATTATATACACACAAGACTCGTAGCGTACGACTGACAGTAAAAAAGATCGACTACCCACTGGAAAAGCAGCGAGAGAGACACACACAAGGTATGTATCGAACATTGCAGCAGAGCAGAGCAGCAGCAAAAAAATGAATAAAAAGAAATTAGCACATCGCGCTCGACACGCCACGCGAGCGAGCTCGAGTAGACTGCAGTGCAGTGGATATGCATAGGACACACCCACGCGCGCGTGTGTGTCTCCGCATGAGACGCGATGTGCTTCGCGTACTACGGCAAAATCGATTATATTATATTGTCGCTAGGCACGCCAACACACACACACATGTGAGCACGAATAGATCTCGTTTTTTTTATATGATATGTATGCGAGCTTTAACGGGGACAATTTACGATATAACGTATAGGACTTATCACTTATGTATGCGGCTTAATCAGTCATAATACAGATGTATGCACGATTCATGGCACGCGTCCTGTGCGATGGCAAAAGGTACTCTGCATATTTGTTTTGAGAAATTTCTCGTTGTAATATAGCTGCAAATTAGGTGCAAGTTTTTGTATCGTTCAGCAAAAAAATAACAACAACGAAGATAAAAAGAGCTATAATAATACCGTATCGATGATTATAATACGCGCGAACGGAAGATTTTTCTCCGGCACGCCGCGAGTCGAGACATATTTTGTGGTCAACGAGACAAAAGGCTCGACGCTCGATTGATAACAGATACAAAACGAAGCAAAAAAAAAAGAAAAAGAAAAGAAAGAAGATATAAATAAAAAAAAAAACAAATTCCAGAAGCTACGCACGAAGGTAAAAGATTCGCGAGGAATGAGTCACCTTATAAAATGTATAATAATTTTCGTGCCCGATGCTTCTTGTGCGCGACGAAGGTGGCACCGGCTGCTACCGCTAGCCGCTGGGTACAAGACGATATTACAGCGACACGCGTCCGTACTCGTATATTCAATACAGAAGAATAAGTATACGGGAGTGAAATGATGAAAAAAAAAAATAAAAATAAATAAAGGAAGAAGATAAAGAAGACGATGAAGCGAGAAGGGGGTACGGAGCCCGAGGCGCAGGTGGTGCGGTATACGCATATAATATTTATTACAAACTGATCGAAGATGACTCCAGCGACTGTGTGTACACAGCAGCAGCAGCAGCAGCAGCTGAAGTAGTCTTGCTCGTCGTGGGCGTGATGCCTTGATTTTTCTCTTTACAAATTGTTTTCTCGACACCGACGCAGCCGCCGCCGGCAAGACGATCGCTCGACACTTTGTCCGCACGCGCGCCGAGTAATGCATCGGATTTCCCTCATGTCGCGTCCAACTGCTCCCGATCGTCACGTATTACACACAATTTCAACGAGTTATACGCATCAGAAATACTGTATTTTACTTTATTTCGTTTGGAATGCATGTAACACAAGTTTATCGTGGTAAAAGTTCAAGTGGAAAAAAATAAAAAGGAAAGAACGCACGACGCGAGCCCGAGACTAGAGGCTTGCTATATCATCATTATTATTTTATCCTCATAAAGTCGCGTTTTATCAACGGTGTCATCGTTTCTGTAGCTATGTGTCGCTCGTGCGTGTATACAATATAAAGCTTATAATACATTTTATAAATATACGTACGCGTGTGTGTCTCTCTCTCTCTCTCTGCCAGTTACTGCTCGGGCAGAGACGCGAGAAGCCTCGTTTTGCGCCAGGACAATCGATGTATAAGCAGCGGCAGCTCGCGTGTACATATACGCGTTATCTCGCGCCGAGGATTAGCGATTAGCGACGAGACGCGCGACGCGCGATATATAAATTCCGGTTTCCGTGTTATAATGCTTGCATGCAAGGGCCGCTGGACGACGACGACGAGTTGGCTATTTCGATAAAAGCTGATTAGCGCCGGGGTATACGCGCACACAATAATATATATACGCAAGTCGGAAAACGTGTAACGAGGATCGATTTAGAAAATTGTTATACACGCACTATTGTACTATTGGTAGTACGTCGTCCTGATAATCTACGCATATACGCGTCTATATACTATCCTGTCGATACCTCCGAGTGAAGTATGATATGTACCGCGCGAAGCTGTCCGTCATTGTTCGTCAGTGCGAGGCCTTCGATTGCGTTGCGGGTATCGTACTCGTCTTTGTCGTCGTCGGGACTCGAATTATGGTCACGTCCGTGAGTTTATCACTCATACGCTAATGACGATTACGGGAGATCGATACCGTCTACTTCCTAATTATATGTACGACGTTATTATAATCCTGTCACACATTGATAATGATATGAGGTGCGTTCGATCATGCGATGTTAGAGATGCATTTTCAACGCAAGTTCCGTTTTTGAGAGAGAGATAGTCTGCCGTTATAGCTTCGAGGATGTGTACCGCGGTAGGAATACCGTGCCATGCCTGCCACGCAGTCGAAAACATCAAAGCCAAATCGACAAACTTGGATTTCTTTGATTATTCCAAGTCCGATATGGTAAGACGCGCGAGTGTAAACAACTGCAAAAAAGATAAGAAGCGGCAGAAGCAATATACGTATATCGTCGTCGTCGTCGTCGTGCGGAGGAGGAAGATCAGTTACCCCGGAGGCAGGTGACGGCACACACTCGCTCGCTCGCACAATAATAATACGTCGTTGTCGGATGTCTCGAGAGAAGAAGGATAAAGATGACGACGCGATCGTGTCGCATCTTTGCACAAAGCACACACACACACACACACGTGTAGGCGCTCTTTTTTTCTTACGTATGTATATCAGCACGACCCGCACGATCGATCTCGTTATTGAACATTTAACAAACGATCGACCCTTGAAAACATTTCCTATAGGAATTCGGCAGGATCCTATACAGTAATTTTTTTCAATGCAATAATGAACATCGTGAACACGTCTAATTTGAAGACATAATCAAGCCGTCAATTTTTTAAGAATTAAAATATTAATTGTAAAATTATCGATGCGCCTGCGTTAGATATTTTACTACTACCTGCAGCTGCAAGTACCGTTCTTTAGCCGTATGAGTTTAGGAAATGTTTATCTGTCATTTGATTATTTCTTGACATGGACCGCGTAATTGTGTGAGCTAATTGTACGCCAAGGCGAAATTTCAATGATACGAGAGTCCTTGTTCGTATCGCAGTACATATTCTGCGTGTGGCCAGTCGGCTGTATTGGGAAGTAATGCGAGTGCCCTGGAGGGGGAAAAAATCCAATATGTCCGCTATAGCCATGAGGTTTAACATAGGAGTGTATGGGAAGTTTACAGTTTTTTGCTCATATTTCAAAAAATATGCGAATTTTCGGAAAACTGAGGACATCAATCGATTCCTCGTCAAATTTTACATCGGAAATGATTGTCGACTGCAAAAGTGTTAGTGTAAAATTATTCACAATATCTAGTTAAACAGAGAAATTCGACTATGAAACGGGGCTCTCGCTTCGCTTTGACGTGATTTTTATTTGTTTAACTCGATATTGTGAATAATTTTACACTAACACTTTTGCAGTCGACAATCATTTCCGATGTAAAATTTGACGAGGAATCGATTGATGTCCTCAGTTTTCCGAAAATTTGCATATTTTTTGAAATATGAGCGAAAAACTGTAAACCTCCCATACACTCCTATGTTAAACCTCATGGCTATAGCGGACATATTGGATTTTTTCCCCCTCCAGGGCACTCGCATTACTTCCCAATAGAGGGGGAAAGTATCGCCGAGGAGCTATCACAATCGTGGGATCACTTCGCTACGCTAATACGTCGCTGGCGAGGAGCTAAATTCCAGCAGTGAGCGAGTGTTTACAAATTAGTGTGAATTCCATAACCTCGAATATTTTCTCAGCAAAAATCGTGCAAATTCATTGGTAATAAATACAAATAAAGACGATGAAATGGAAAGCGGAGAAGATACAGTAAGGTATGATTGCTCTTGTACATATTATGATAGTTTTTGAAACGCAAACTTGATTATTCTTCAGGGTGAAAGACGAACCGAATGATACTTGGACGAGTGCAGACGACGATTATGTTTTCAATTCGGCGGACTCTCGGGAAGTTAAAAACTTCGAAACATTCCCGTTTAATAAATCACCAGTGAGTTAAATGATTGGAATTATTTTCTAATTTTCCACTATCAAAAATTATCAAATAATTTAATTTAGGCAATGTCATTAAGGGAAAAGTTGGATGAAGGAATATTCATAGATTGTGAATGCAAAGATGTTAAACCTGAACTGAAGCCTTTATCCACAATTATCTGCAAAACTGAACATCAGAATTATCCACCAGTAATAAAAAATGAATTCCAGACCAGACACTTGGTTGAAAAAAGTTTAATGATTTTGATAAAAAAAGGTTTCGATTATCATAATAATCGTCAATTCCAAGAAAATCCCCGATTTCAATTTGATGAATATAAAGGAGTCGAAAGCCTTAGAAAAACTATTCAAAGCAAATTACCTTACAAGTGCCAAACGTGTCAGAAATGGTATATTGGAGAAGCGAGTTTGAATGCACATATCGATACAACAC